GATAATCCCAAGAACGTGGAAGTCAAATGGTATTGTCTCTCCTTATTTCTTGGCATCTACAGCATCATCTGTAGGCTACCCACTGCCTACATTCCCACTCATCTAGATACAATCAGATGCTCCTTTCTGGGGCTCAAAACCCTGGAGAATAATGCAAAGCTGCATGAAGTAGTCCCAACAAATCACCAGCAGGGAGCAGTCTCACCAGACCATTCCTGGGGTGCAACTTCGGCTGTATTTTCGGCTCTCTGTTTTGTTGTTATTTGTTGATATCTACTTGATCCCTGACTCATGGTGACCCCATGCACGAATGAAGAAAACACTGCTTAGTCCTGCTCCAGTCCCATCATAGCTGGGGATCACACTATTGTGGTCCATAGGGTTTTCACTGACTGATTTTTCAGGAGTAGACCATCAGGCCTCTCTCATCTGTCTTAGTCTGGAAGCTCCATTGAAACCTGTTGAGTATCACAGCAACACACAAGCCTCCAGTGACAGGCAGCTGCTGGCTACCCCTATTGGCAAGGAATTGAATCAGGTCTCCTGGATGGAAGGCAAAAATTCCATCACAAAACCACCACTATCCCCTGGCCTCCCTTGTTGTTGTGTGGTGTCAAGTCACCAATCCTATATAGGGTTTCTGAGAGTGGATGTGGGTTTAAACTACTGACCTTGTGATCAATAGTCCAGTGCTTATCCTACAGTGCCTCCCTTTGTTGTTGTTGTTAGGTGCCATCGAGTCGGTACCAACTCACAGTGGCCTTGTGCACAGCAGAACAAAACACTGCCCGACCCTGGGCCAACCTCACTAGTGTTGCCACGCTTGAGTCCATCGATGCTGACACTTGGCCAATCCATCTCATTGGGGGTCTTCCTCTTTTTCTCTGACCCTCCACATTACCAAACATGATCTCCTTCTTCAGTGACTGGTCCCTCCTCCTGACAATATGTCCAAAGTATGAGAGACGAAGTTTGGCCATCTTGGCCTCCAAGGAGCACTCTGGCTGCACTTCTTCCAAAATGGATCTATTGGTTCTTTTGGCAGCCCATAGCACTATCAACATTCTCCTTCAACATCATAACTCAAAAGCATCAATTCTTCTACAATCTTCCTTATTCACTGTGCAGCTTTTGCATGCATATGATATCATATATCAAATACACAAAACATCAAATTGATACCAAATAAACAAGAGCTAAGGGAGGACACCAGCTCCCTTTTTCTAAACTCAATCCTTAACCTTTCTTTTGCTCCTATGGACTATCTACTGTATTGTCGTTCTGAAGAAAACTGGTGGGTTTGAACCTCCAACCTTGTGGTTAGCTGTCCAGTGCTTATGCTACAGTGCCAAACTAGGACTCCATGGACTATCTACTAGTTTTCCAATAAATTCCTTTTCTTTCAAAGCCAGCCAAATCTGTTTCTACTGGTTGTATCTAGGGATTCAGGTCCTAGCCTGCTGTTACTGCTTCTGGCCTTTTGGGTCTTCCCTTGAGCACTATTTCTAGGGATATATTTCAAAGTTACATTTGCAGAATTCTTAAAATCTCTTCTTCAAGATGGCCAATGTTTTTCATTATTCTTTTGTATCTTTAACAGCTCTATCAAAATGTGCTACATTTTCTAATGAAGTTGAATTGTTTCCTCTGATCACTTTTTGTTTCTTCCATCATTTTCATCTTTCCCAAACTCTAACATTCATTTCTTGCTCATGTAGCTCTTTTTATTCGATATTCATTTCCCATTAGGGTTTGAGAGATTTAATAAGCTTTTATTGTGCACGAACTACATGCCGGATAATATGCTAAGGACAAGCATACAAAGATGATTAAGACCAAGTCCTCTCCTGTGTGAAGGTAATAATCGAATGAATAAAATATAGAGTAGATTAATGCCAAGACAGGCAACATAAACCACCACATCATCAAAGCAAGGAGGAGAACATGAAAGGCATAAAAGATGGGATTTGATTCTGTACAACCGCTGAGACACATTCATCATATCCTGTCTCCACGCTGGGACCTTGGGTGGTTGTTGTTAAGTGCCATCAAGTCAGTTCCGATTCATAGCGACCCTGTATAAGGTTTCCAAGGAGCAGCTGGTGAGTTTGAACTGCTGACATTGCAGTTCAAACCAACCTTGTGGTCCAGCACCACAGCAGGACTCCCAGGGTCTTTGGTAACCTCTCCTTATTTCTGTCTGGCAGGCTGAATACACTTCGTTCTGTCTGGTAGGCTAAATACACTGAATACACTTAGTGTGTACACATATACACACTATCTAGATCTGTGTGTATATGTGTACCAATACTTACCTTGTGATACAGAAACAACTAGAGAGACCTTTTAGAAGGGAGGACCAGAATTGACAGCAAGCTGCACAACTGAATGGCACACACACAGTCGTGACTGTCTTTGAACTGCTTCCTTTCTTTCTTTCTCTTTTTCTAATTCATGCTCCTGCTCCTCCAGAGGACCAGGTTGGTACTTTTCTTCCCTCTCACATCCTCACTGCTGCCTATAATCCATCACCACAAATAGAGGTCTTAAAAACGGCACTCAAGGGAGACATTACTTCCTGTCCATTTCTCTCACAGAAAGAGCAACTTATACGGGGCGTGGGGTGGAGGAGAGTACATTTAGGTTAAAGGAATATAAATATCAAGAAAGAATCTACTTCTTTCCCCTTTAAGATTCTAAGCCTCAGAAAGATCCATGGTTTTTCTTTCTTCTTTTTTAAGGAAAAAAAAAAAAAAAGTCTATTACCCTTTGGCCTACACTGAAGATTAATCTTATATACCTGGTAATAAAACCAGAGGATTTTTAGGGAGAGCAGTTAAAGGGAAAAGATGGCTGAGACAGGTTTCTTTGGTGAACAAAAGTCTCAAGCTCATAAATATAACTCATGAGGCTAGTCTTTGTGGTTAGCTAGTACTTTAAATTTGTGGTTCCCCTGACTATGTGGGTTGACAAGGGGACTATTGACTTTTTTTCAGACAAGATTGCAGTGCTTAAACTTATGACTTGAAAAAAGAAACGACCAGCATTCCTGGGGCAACCAAAAAGTCCAGCTGCATTGAGTTATGGCATCTCTTACGCATGTGCATAAGACGCATGCACTGGGTAACAGGGAAGAATGGAGAAAATGGTGTTTTCTCCTTTCAAAATTTAATTTGTCAGTGGGAAAGAACCCTGTGACTTTAATTTTTTTTTTTAATCAAATAAGGTTTGCATTGAGGACTTAGAATTTTCATCAGTGTTCTCCACATTTGTTGTTAGAGGCCATTGAGTCACACCCAATTTGTGGCGGCCCCATGCACAACGGAGCAAAATGCTGCCCTGTTCTGTGCCGTCCTTATGAATAGCTGTGGATCAGAGCTTTGAGATTCAAGGGTTTTTCACTGTCTGGTTTTCAGAACAAGGTTACCAGTCCTTTCTTTTTGAGTCTGCTTTCGTCTGAAAGCTCCACTGAAATCTGTTTAGCATCACAGCAACACATAAGCCTCCACTAACAGATGGGTGCTAACTGCACATGTGGAGCATTGGCTGGGAATCAAACCCGGTCTCCTGCATGGGAGGCGAGAATTCTACCACTGAACCACCACTACCTCCCTCCCCACATTTAAGTAGTGTTGTTCAATGTCATTGAGAAGGTTCTGGCTCATAGCAAGCCTGACCTTGGAGTTAGCAGTCCAGTGCTTATCCTACAGCACCATACCAGGACTCTAGTTTATTATTCTTCATCCCTTCATAATTTTTCTGCTAATTTTGAAAGTCGAAACTAAATTTGATTAAAATTTTGAGCTCTTACAGTAAAGGGTAGGGACTTTACCTAGCTTGGATATTTGTTGTTGTTGTTAGATGCCATCGAGTCAGTGCTGACTCATAGCAACCCAGTATAGGGTTTCCAAGGAGCAGCTGGTGGGTTTGAACTGCCAACCTTGAGGCTCAAGTTGACCTTGCAGTCTAGCACATTGGCTTGCAGCGCTATAACCAGGATTCCAGTTTGGATATTTAGAAGTTTACATATTTTGAAGATTCTCAATAAAAGTGGGACTTTTTCTTTCTGAAGGCAAAAGGAAAGTGAGCTCTTTAGGTACAAATTACCTCATTTTTTTTCTCGCCCTAAGAATCTGAGTACCTGATAATTTAAAATAGCTAGCTAGCAAAAGCCTTGGCTACAGAACCCCAGTGATACGCTCTACCATTCTCTATGTAACTACAGATGCTGCTGCAGTGGGAACCCAGGGTTTATTCGGTTTCCTTCTATTTTGAAAACACAGCAGACCTGAAGCTCCTTTTCCAACTTCTTTCAAAGTTCAAAGGGGCTGCGTACAAGGAGCTTTGTAATATCACTCAGTTATTATTTATAAAAAGCCAAGGATATTATTTCTTATTGATGAAGAAGAGCTTTTGTCCGTGTCATATTTTCCCTCTTTCTTTTTTAGTGTGATTCAACAGCTTGAATTTTGAAGAAACTTCACAAATAGAGGGCGACATCTGTGCTCACAGCCCCCTTACTTAGCTGCTCTAATTAGGATTCCCTTATTCCATTTCTTTGACTCAAGAAAGGACAGGGGGGCTTTTTAATTGGGGCTATTAGAAGTTCTCTTTACACAATGACACCTCCCCTAAGTGAAGACTCCAGAGAAGCCATGCCCACTCTGCAATTACTTCTTGCAATTCTGAGGAATAATGGTATCTTGTCTCATTTAAAAATAAATCTGAGGCTTATTCCTTATTGCTTTCTCGGCTCAGCCTACTCACATGAATTTCTGCTTGCCAATTAAGTCAACTTTCCATTATTTAAGGAGGTAGTTTTGATTGTAACCATCCTCTGATAATAAGACATATTAAACTGGTTTTCACTTGCCCACAGCTCCTTTCTTCCAGAAGCCAGGCTAATTTAAATCAGTTCAGATCTCTGCATTTTGAAGTTATTCTGGACCGAAATTGTGAATTTCCTAAGCCATGTTGTATTTTCATGCCACAGCGCTCACCTGAAATAACCCGTAGGCTCAACACCCTCAGTTTCTCAGAATCACTCTCTCTTAAGAGAACCGCTGTAGGACTGTGTTTATGACCTACTTCAAGAAGAGAGCTTAAATATTTAGATGACAAGCAAGCACATTCTTAACATATATTCCTCATGTTGATTCAAAGGATCACTAAAGAAAATGGACCATTTACAACTGGGCCTGGAGAAAAAGACATTAGGAACGTTTCCTTATTAATTTATTTCCCACTAAAAATACAGGTTCTTTCTAAGACCAGTTCTTCTCCACAACCGTTCAGATCACTGTGCCATCACATCTAATGTATGCTTAATATTTAATGATATTTAATAACTAACTGGTGTGGTATTTCTCATCACTTATATGCTTGGATTTGCAAGGTAAGCTTTTAAAAGCCATTAAGTCAATCATTGGAGCAGATGTTCAGAATAACTTAATGGGACTTCCCAATAGTGGTTTCATGCTCAATAATTGTGCTAGTTCACACTCTTTTTCCTAATAATATTGATATAGAAAAGTGTGTTAAAAACTCAACACTATGTGCTATTTGCAAATTGTTGTTAGGTGTTGTCAAGTCATTTCTAACTCACGGCTGCCCTCTCGACAACAGAACGAAACTCTGCCTGGTTCTGTGCTGTCCATATCAGTTAACTATGTTTGAGCCCATGTTGCAGCCATTACAACAATCAATAAATTAATCAATCCATCTTGTTGAGGGCCTTCCTTTTTCTTTTCTTTTCTTTTTTTTTCCTAACCCTCTACTTTACCAAGCATTATGTCCTTCTGCAAGGACTGGTCCTTTCTGATAATATGTCCAAAGTTGTTGTTGTTACGTGCAATTGAGTAAGTTCCCACTCATAGCGACCCTGAATGGGATGGTGAGTTTGAACCACTGACCTTGCAGTTCAAACCAAACTTTCATTTCAGTGCTTATCCTACAGCAACACACCAGGACTCCATGTCCTAAGGACTGGCTTCTAAAGAGCATTCTGGGTATCCTTTTTTTTTTTTTTTAATGTTTTATTGTGAATTATGTGATAGTTTACATGGGAGAACATTAGCTTCACATTCATCCTATCATATATCGTTACATTGCCATGGTTACAATCCCCTACATACATCATCAACCTACCAAATGGTACACCCCGCAAGCTTCCTCCCAGGTCACCAGCACACAGCCCCCTCTCTCTCTGGGTCTAGAGTTCCCAGTCACTCCATCTCTCCATGTCATCGTCTCTGCCTCCATTTCTGGCATCACTGTTTCTCTGGGTAGGGACCCGCAATCCACTCTTCTCCCTTGCTGGTCCCAGGACCCTCCTCTCCTGGACTGCAAAGTCAATCACTCCCTTCCTTTTGTTACAAATGTCTACCTTTACGTTTCCAACCCTCACAGTCAGTCCTGATAGTAATTATTCACTATTTTACCACATGAGTGCTAGCCACATCTCCTTTCATCAGTCCCTCCTAGACAGATTGGATACTACTCAGTGGAGAGTCTACCTTCCTCCATGCCCTCTGGATCTAGGTTCCCTCTTAAAAGCTTGTAAGCCAGTCACTTCTTGCCTTTGTAACCCCTCCCCCCCCCATTTTGTGTAGCCAATGTCCAAGTTGCTCATCCCTGTCTATCCTGTGTATTGAGGGGGTGGGAATGATCCTCACTATAAAGATTTGGTCCCTCTTTTGAGCTACTCCTTCCACAGGTGTAGGTCAAGTTCATCAAATTGTATCAGATTACTCTTTTTTTCCTCTTCTTTCTTCTTCTAGTTGAGCTCTGATCATCCAGCCATTGAAGCGAGGTCAAGTGGGTATTATCTGTAAGTGTGGGTGTTCTTGTGCATATGCCCTCTCTGCTTATCATCTGGACGCTTCACTCTCCACTCTAGTCCTCTGTGGCTATGTCACTGACTCTGGGCCCACTGGCTATACTTTTCCAAGACAGATTTGTTTGTTCTTCTAACAACTCATGGTTTATTTAATATTCTTAATTAACACTGTTACTCAAAGGCCATCAGTTCTTCTTCAGTCTTCCTTATTCATTCTTCAGCTTTTGCATACATATGACATGAAAATACAATGACATGGGTCAGGCACACCTTAATCTTCAAAGTGACCTCTTCACTTCTTAAACATGTTAAAGAGCTCTTTTGCAGCAGATTTGCCCAATACGATACGTTGTTTACTTCTTGACTGGGTGTTGATTGTGAATACAAGTAAAATGAAATCCTGGATAACTTCAATCTTTTCTGGATGTTTCATGCTTATTGATCAAGTTGTGAAGATTTCTGCTTCCTTCATCTTTAGTTGTAATCTATACTGAAAGCTGAAGTCTTTGATCTTCATCAGTAAGTGTTTGACATTCCCTTTGCTTTCAGCAAGTAAGGTTGTGTCATCTGCATATCTCAGGTTTTTAATGAGTTTTCCTTTAAACCTGATGATACATTCTTCTTCATATAGTCCAGCTTCCTGAATTATTTGCTCAACATGCAGATTAAATATATATGGATAAAGGATACAACATAGATGTAAATCTTTCCTCATATAGTATCCTTTTGTTCTCTAAGAACACCTGTCTGTTGGAATATATATATGTTCTACATGAGCATTATTTAGTGATCTGGAATACTCATTCTTCACAATATTATTCATAATTAGTTGTGATCTACACAGTGGAATGTCTTTGCATAGTTAATAAACAACAAATAAATATCTTTCTCTGCCACTCATCTGTCAGTTTGTCACACTGTGGTGGCTTGCATGTTGCTGTGATGCTGAAAGCTATGCCATCAGTATTTTAAACACAAGCAGGATCACCCGTGGTGGACAGGTTTCAGATGAGCTTCCAGACAAAAACAGATGAGCACAAAGGAGAGGCAAACTACTTCTCAATGCCCTGTAAACTTTCACTCAATCCACAATAAAAACCAGAAAAGCTGTGGGATGACTTCCAGAACATCATAGGGGAAGGAAGCAAAAAGTCATTAAAAAGAAAGACTAAAATGAATGGCAGAAGAGACTCTGAAACTTGATCTCCAGTGCAGAGATGCTACAGCAAATGGAAGAAATGTGGGAGTAAAAGAGCTGAACAGAATATTTCAAAGGGCAGCTCAGGAAAACAAAGTTAAGTTTTATATTGAAGTATGCAAGACCTGTTTTTAGGAAATCAAAAGAGAAAAACATGCTCAGTATTTCTAAAGCTGAAAGAACTGAAGAAAAATTCAAGCTTCAACTTGCAGTTTTAAAGGATTCTATGGGCAAAATACTGAACGATGCAGAAAGCATCCAAAGAAGATGGAAAGAATACATAGAGTCACTGTATCAAAAAAGAAATGGTTGGAATAGGGAACCTAGCTCCAGAGGATACAGGGAAAGGTAGAACCTCCACTGAATTGTTTCCAACCTATCTGGATGGGGTTAATAAAAGATGAGGGGGAAAGGACTCCTGTGGTTAAATAGGGAATGATTGCTATCAGGTCTGACAGTGAGTATTGGAAAGGTAAATGTAAATGTTTAGTAACAAAAGGAGGGGAGAGGCTGATTTTATAGTCCAGGAGAGGAGATCCCTGGAACCATCAAGGGAGAAAAGCAAAATGCGAGACCGTGTCCGGAAAGGCAGTGACACTAGTGATGGAGGCAGAGACGATGAGGTGGACAGAAGGAGCGGCTGGGGACTCTGGACTCAGGGAAGGAGAGGGGTTGTGTGCTGGCAGCTGTGGGGGCAGGAATGTGGGGTGTGCACTTTGGGTGTTTGATGATATATGCAGGGGATTGTGATCATTGTGATGAAACAAAGTACAATAGGATGAGTGTAAAGATAATGTTCACCCATGTAAACTAACACATAATTCACAATAAAACTTTTTTTTTAATGAACTTAGTACAAAAAAGAATCTGAAACAAAGAAACCAGCAACACTCCCTCACCCCCACCCCCCCAAAAAAAGAAAAAGAAATGGTTGGAGTCATGAGCCTCCACTGTTTGGTTGCAGGAGCGGAGCAATGCCTAAATCAAAGGAACTTGTTTCTTCAAGCTTATCTGGCAGTGATTCTGATAGTGAAGTTGACAAAAAGCTAAAGAGGAAAAAGCAAGTTACTCCAGAAGAACCTGTGAAGAAGCAACAAACTGGTGAAACTTCAAGAGCCTTCTCATCTTCTAAGCAGAGCAGCAGCAGCAGAGATGATAACATGTTTCAGATTGGGAAAAAGAGGTATGTCAGTGTTCCGGACTTTAAAGGGAAAGTCCTAATCGATATTAGAGAATATTGAATGGATCAGGAAGGTGAAATGAAACCAGGAAAGAAAGGAATTTCTCTAAATCCTGAGCAGTGGAGTCAGCTGAAGGAACACATTTCGGACATTGATAACATAACAAGGAAACTGTAACATCAGAGCCGTACCCAATCCTCAATGCTCTTGTCATTTTCATCTGTCTGTTTACCTTGGCTTTTGTTTTCTAACAGTTGTTTTCCAAGTTGTTGTATTTTTGGATTGCAGAACAATTTGTAAGATGAATACTTTTTTTAAATGTGTGTTATTAAAAATGCTCTGAGTGAAAAGAAAGAAAGAAATGGTTGATGTTTAACCACTTGAGGAGGCAGCATATGATCAAGAACTGATGGTGAGTACTGAAGAAAGAAATCCAAGGTGTACTAAAGATATTGGCAAACAAACAAGTCTCCAGGAATTGACAGAATACAAATTGAAATGTTTCAACAAACTGATGAAGCACTCATCTATGCCAAGAAATTTGGAAGCGAGATACCTGGCCAACTGATTAGAATAGATCCATATTTGTGCCCATTCCAAAGAGAGGTGACCCAGTGGAATGTAGAGATTAGTAATATCACATACAAGTAACATTTTTCTGGTGATAATTTTAAAATGGCTGCAACAGTACATCAACAGGGAACTGCCAGAAATTCAAGCTGGATTCAGAAGAGGATGTGGAACGAGGAATACCTCGGCTGATGTCAGATGGATCTTGGCTGAAAGCAGAGAATACTAGAAAGATGTTTACTTGTGTTTTACTGACTATGCAAAGGTTTTTAACTGTGTAGACCATGACAAAATATGGATAACATTTCAAAGAATTGGTATCACAGAACACTTAATTGTGTTCATGACGAACCTGTACATAGACCAAGAGGTAGTCATTAGAACCAACAGGGGATACTGAATGGTTTAAAATCAGGAAAGGTGTGCAACAGGGTTGTATCCTTTTCACCATGTGTATTCAATCTGTATGCTGAGCAAATAAACTGAGAAACTTAATTATTTGAAGAACAATGGCGCTCTGGTAG